ATGGCTTATTAAAAAATTTGAGCCATGTTTTCTAGCAAATACTATAATCAATATCATACTTAATGTTGGTCTGCATTCTGTTCAGCTATACCTTATCATACCTTATCATACCTTATCATACCTTATCATACCTTCACTTTGTGAATGAAGAACTAGAAGGAGATTTCATATCTGTTAACCCATGAAAGATGAGCAGTGTAAGAGAAGGACTGGATAGTGTTCCAATTTTATGTTACCACTTTACAAATTGATGCTATAGAAAACTTTCAGACATACACAAATTAGTTTTTTCCTGGTGGAATAAAGTGTGTATGTAACTATCAACATCTATTAAACTATGGGTCTATTTGCATCACCTGGTTAGTAAGTGCCTTCAGTTTTTTGTCAATTTCATTTTCCTTGGCTGATAGGCAAGTGGACTTGAAAGGTCTGTTGTCACTTAAGATTGTGACAGATAATAAAAGTAACTGAATTTGATTATACAATCTGGCCTGGATTTTGTGGGGAACAAAAGAGTATAAGGTTTAAGTTTTATCTTATAAAATTTTACTACTTAATTTCTGTCTGAATTTTCTGGGATGAGGAGTTGTCATTATTTACAGTATTTAATTTATAGAGTAGACTGTTCTTGTTCCACTATCCATGTCTAAGAATATAATGTCTAGTTCTTATTTTTTTTTTTTTTTTAGTACTACTCAGTTATTGATTGCTATGTTTCTACAGAGTTCAAGTACACACTGCCTGGACTAGGAATTGAAATCACATTGCTACTTTGGATAAAGTCTCAAGCAGACTCATGTTGTCATTTTACAACATTGTATCTGAAGATATGGTGAAAGTACTAGTCTGTTTTGATAGAGTAACCAGTATTTTAATGATGCCATCATTGTATAATTGCTTTGAAGAGACTTTTTATTATTTTGAATAATTTTTTAGAGTTTCAAATAATAACCAGAGATTTAACAGTACATAAATAAAATGAAATAAGAATTAAACTATATTTCCAGTTACATGTTCTACTTTGAATAAATTTTTGGCAGATACATTGTTATATTATCTGAATATAGGCTTTTTTTTTTTTTTTTTTTTTTTTTTTTTAAGTGTTTCACCCCAAGCAAGGCGGGAAGCCACTAGGATGCAAGGGGTTACAGGAAATAACAAGATCAGATAGGAGTGATAGAAGAAAGGATGAGGGTAGTGGATAGATCAAGGCAACTGGAGTTGTCGATTGACATTACACTTGAATAGCTGGAGATTATAGCTCGCAGGGAAACAGGAGAAGGGAAGGGAGTTCCACAGGCGAGAGGTGCGAGACATGAAGCTATTAGAGTAGAAGAGACGGCTACATTTAGGAGTTTTGACAGTGAGGGGGTGAGGCGGGATGCCAGCCTCGTGAGGGCACTGGAACTCATGACGTCTGGGAACCAGCGAATGCAGCTCCTGGGAGCAATTTCCATGAAAGTATTTGTAGAACAGACAGAGGGAGGCGACGGCGCGTCTGTGAGAAAGTGACTGTGAGCAGACGCCAGGGCAGGGCCAACCATATTGCATATCCGCCTCTGGAGCCTATCAAGAACCCTGAGGCAAACAGAAGGGGCGCCAGACCATATATGGCAGCAATACTCCATGCAAGGGCGAATTGTGGATTTGTATAGCTGGAGGATCGACTGGGAGAAAAAACTTCCTAAGCGGCTCAGGAGCCAACTTTCCTCGCAGTGGGACGAGGCAATTGATTTCGATGTATTTATTCCATCTCAGGCTTGAAAAAATGTCTCTATTTTATCAGTAAGTTCATGAGTGGTAACAAAAATGATATTCTTGCTTACAGTACTATTCCCTGTTTTTCTTTCTAGGAAAAACTTTAAATAGAAATATTTGATCCACATATGACAGAAAAGTCTTATCTTCGGGAACCTATTTTTAATAAATTTTACTTGTATTTAATTTGAAAATGTACATAAATGAGATTTTATGAAACTGATATCCCATTCATTTAAGATCCACAATAGTATTTTATCTTTTCTTTTCTCAATCACTTTCACATATGCAATCATTAATAATATACATGAAGTAAATGATTTTTTTAAAAAATTAAGTCACACATTGTTTTTCATTATATTTGATGAATTATGCAAGGCATGTTAATATTTATATTAACATCTTATGGCTATACTGGTCATTTGGAAAAAAAGGTTTTGCTCTGGTTGAAAAAGTACTTTCTTTTCCAGAAATATTTCAACTTGACATTTAAAAGCTCCCAGTGTTGCAATGTTCTAATTGCTGATCTGTAATTGCAAGTACATTAAACTGTGTACATGAGAAATGTATTGTGTGTTTCTTTTTTTAGGCTATAGTTCATTTAATACACGGCCCAAGAATCACCCAAAGTAAAGGGTTACTAAAGGAGGTGTGTGACATGAACATAAGAGTAGGAAATACAAAGTAAGGATCATGAGGATATGTAGGTTAGTTAATGGTTGACCCTAGACTTGAAGAGGTTAAGATCAGTGGAAGCATCTTTTTCGGAGTTTGTTCCATAACATAAGAGTTCTGGAGAAGAAGCTGTCTGAGTGGAACTCTTTCCTTACTAATGGAATGTAAATGAGGATGAATCAACTCTGTGTATGTGGGTCCTAGCTGTGAAGGTCTGGACTATTGGAACTGAGGAATGTAATTTACTGGAACATTATCTCTGAAAATAGTGAGAGGCTAGCAATGTTTTGTCTGTGAGAAAGTGGTTGTAGGGTAGAATATAATTCATCACCTACAAGACCATGTAAATGCTTTTGAACTCTGTCAAGACTGAAGAGTGAGTTTTGTTTGTTCTAAGCTTGGATATTTTTTCCTCCAGCTGATTGACATTTATTTTTGTAAATAGGATTTTAACTAACTTTTTAGTGATAATTTTTAATAGTTTCTTGTATAACTCTTGTCATCAAAATTGCAAAGAATATACTTTTATGCATTGTATTTAGTTTATTCTTATTCTCTTACTCTCTGGATCACATTTAAATGAATAATTTTCCTCATTTTTATTATTACTTAGAAAAATTTGGTATTTTAATCAGTTAAAAAAAAACCCCCAAAAAACCAACAAAGTGAGTGTAATGTTGCACTTCTACAACCAGTTGTATATCTTTGGACACCTCATGTTGGTGAAAATGTGTATGATTCTCAGGAGTTCTAGGGCTGTGGAGTAGAGTGGAAGATGTTGCTGTGGGGTTTTATAATGTAGTCAAACTTTTGCTTTATACAGGTGACTGTAGGAATGGGTTGTGCAGGTAACTTTTCTAGAGAACAAACAGAATAACAATAATAATGTTGCTGGTATATCAAATATTTACCTTTTTGTTTATAATTTGGTGGGAGAGAGGATGAGACACACACATTAATAGATAGTAGTTTTAACCTGCAAAAATTCCAGTTTTCCTATTTTAATTCTTCGATGAATCTTAATTCTTAAGTTAATGATTGAGTAAGCTCCTTGAGAGTTCTGTGACAATATCTGTAGAAATTCCCCTATTGCATCATTAAATATTTGAGCTTAACAACTTTAAGAAAATATTGTAATAACAATCATAAGATATGAATGCTGGTTATTTAAGAAATGGGCACAAATGAAAAGATTTCAAATTGACAACTTTTCCATTTCACTGAAACAGCTGTTAAACACTTCTATCTTCCCTCCTTTCTTTCTTTTTCTCACTGAAACCAAATGATGTTTTTTCCATGCGATCAAAACAGAATAGTCCATTATTTATAAGGTATTGACAGGACCTAATGCTTGTGGGAACTAACGAAGGGAGGGATAAGTACAATTATATCAGGATATATGTACAAATAATAATAATAATGTGTGTGTGTGTGTGTGTTTTTTCATTATAATCTATTATAATAAAAATATATTTTTCTCTACTTTGTATTGAGCACTTTTTTAAAACGTAAATGCTATGAACTGTGGATTTTTACTCCATCCGTTCTTTCTTTTTTTTTGTGTGTGTATATATATATATATATATATATATATATATTAATGAACCAAGGTCTTCACATTCTGGATTTAAATGTATTTAACAATGCTTAACATAGTAATTTGTCTATTTTCATATATACTTTTGGACTTCATTGTCTCTTATATTTAGAGCAGTGTTCACACTATGCTCAAAACCTTGGCACATATCTTTTGTCAGTCAGTTTCTGACAGTCGCATAATAATTCTACCTGTGTCATTAACCCAATTCTTTCATTTTTCTCTTTTTGTCTCTTCATTTACATCTCCCACGCTATCAAAAACTCTTCCCTTCCACTGTTGACTTTGATAGATAACTTTTACAATTAGATTTCCTTTATTTAATGATGTAAAACATTTTTGTCAAATTTAAATTTTTCCATTTAAAATATTTGCTATTGCTTTTTCCACATGGCAGCCTTTCTTCAAATCTATGAATTCATTTTATTATTCAATCTTTGTTTTATTTTTGTTGCCAAAATGATTCATGTATTTATAAAATGAATTCATAGATTTGAAGAAAGGCTGCCATGTGGAAAAAGCAATGGCAAATATTTTAAATGGAAAAATTTACATTTAACAAATTTCAGACAACAAAAACCAGGTCTTTATTTGATATCATTTTTCTTTCTTTATTGAATTGATTTTGTCTAAACATCCATTTATCTGCATTAATTGTTTTTTCTTTTTTTCTCTTAACAAGTGGTCATTTCATTACATGAATTAGTAAAAAAATTGTTGCTATTAGTTATATTTATATAGGAGTACTCTTTCAGAATGTTAACTGATTTCATGGAAAACATTGAATGGATTGATTTCTTTGTTCAAATTGACAGTGGTGGTGGTTATATTGAATATGATTACTTAGTTTAATCCTTGTTCATTATGTGATTAATAAAAATTCTCGCTATTATAATATCAAGAATTCATTTTTAAGAAACAACATATTTACTATTTTTAATGAAAATCTTTTTCTGCTTTTTCTTTATAGCTGCGCTTAAGCGTATGCTCACCTTTAACAGTGCACCAACAAAACAGGTTTCAGCTGAGCCACAATGGAAAGTAAGTTAATTTCTTTTTGGCAGTCATTAAAATTGATTTTACATCACTTAATTTTTTTTATCAGTTAACTTCAGTGAAGAAAAATTTAAATAAACTAAGACAATTAGGATTACTTTTTTCTACTAGTAAATTTTAAGTAGAGATTGTAAATTTTCATCCAGAAATTTTAAATCTGGTTCTGTCTTTGTATTTTCTTTGATAAACTGAAAATAGTTATAGTAGGCATATTTTTGTTATTTGGGCAGGTAATTCTACAGTAGCATCCAAAATTAAGGAACAAAAATTAAAACTTTGATATCACAAAAAATATAAGTCCCATTTTTCTGAAATTTTCACTAATATCTGAGTAAAAAATTAAATGAATCCTAGCTCTCTCTTTCTGTATCATTCCAAATAACTTACAGATTTAAAGCACAACTGTCATTTGTCTACATTTAGGGAAAATTTCAGAAAAATTGAACTTGTACCATTTTAGATAACAAAGTTTTGATTTTTGTTCCCTAATTTTGGACACTACTGTATATCTGAGACTAGCAGCATGGCCCGGTGTTGCCCATGCTTGATTAAAATATCGTACGACTCATACAGCAATCGCTATCACTTGACTTAAAATATTTTTGCCCTTCCTTGCCTTTAAAGGAGTACCCTTTGCCATGCTGATGTTGCTACATGCCTTACTTCTTGCCTATCTCACACTGCAAATTTTTTCTAAGCTTTATACTAAACATTAAATCTGTTACGAAAAAAGAACTAAACAAAATGAACACAAAACGATCAGTTTTAAAAAAGGACTCGTAACTGGAAAAACCAAATGAAAAAAGAATGTTAACAACAAATACTTTTTCACACCCAACTCAGTTCTGCGGAATCAAAATCAACGTTGAGTTTAAGCAAGCGAATGAGCCAATTGGAGTAAAGTGCCATGCAGATTTAAATTTTTCCCACTTGTGACGAATGCAGCTATCTATTTGTTTTTTTTTTTTTTTTTTTGCATGCTAGCATGATAGTTAACATTCGTGTCAGTCAGCTGTTGGCTCTTACGCTGGCCAATAGAATCTTCCTGCCTATTTGTAGCAGCCAGCTATTGGCTCCTCCTCTGGCCAGTGCAAAATGGCTGCAAACTATATGAAAACTGCCATAGAAGCATGAAAAAAATCAATAAATTTCCACTATCGATGGGAGTTGGGAAATGCAAAGTCAGTCTTGGCCTTCCTGCTAACTTTGTGCATGTAAATTTTGGTGCAAATCCGTCGAAAATTGCAGCCATGCATTCGTCTCACACACACACACACACACACACATCCTGCCTTTTATAGATAAAGATAGTAATAATTGTTTGTTTATCTCTCTTTATAATCTTTGCTATTATGACTGACAAAAGTCAAGTTGGATTTAGTTTTTTATTATAGATTATCAGTACATAAGTGACATCAGAGATGTGTGATTAATAATTGAAATTGTTCATTTTCTTTTAGCAGACTCAATTCAGGCTGTTTTGAACTTAATTTAGATAAAAGAAGATACAATGTAAAAGGAGACAAGAGTTTCAGTAAAAACGAATTAACTCTTGATAAATAAGATTCATATCAATTCCAAATAGGGATCACCTCTTCAGAGGACAATATCTCTACCTCCAATTTTGATAATGAAATCAGCCTTCAATGACAATTGATTAAAAGCAAAAATCAATTGCCACCGTATTTTTAGATAGGAGTGATACCTCATGAAATAACTTTATTATTGGCTACAATAAATAAATATATAAATTATAGTTTATTTCTAATTATCACAGGGCCAGGAGATTGACATTTGTTTTAAAAAAAAAAAAAAATGACTATATTTTAAAATACTAACAAACTTAACAGAGACAAAGATGTTTTGAGTATTAAAACCAGCTCTGATTTCAAGATCAGTACTGATATGAATGATATATAGTAGGGACTGTATATACGGAGTGTCCCCTCCAAAACTGACATCATTTAAAATGTGAATATCTGAGTAACTACATGTCCCAGACAAACAAAATTTAATAAGCTTCATGTTGAACAGTAAAAGATTTATCAAGATTTGAACAAGATATAGATTTTATAACCGATTTCACAAAGCTTCACAAATGTTCAATATGTGCACAACCTGTGACACGACATATGTCAAGTCGGTGTAATATTCTCCAGTGCCTCAGAGATTCTCTGCGTAAGTTCCTCTAGGCTTGTAGGAAGAGGTGGGGGATATAGATCTGTCTTTAGATAAAAAAAAAAATCACAAGTTGTCAAGTCAGGTGAACATTTCAACAGCACATTGTCATTATCAATGGCAAATCTGATCCATATTCCTGGTGGAATCTCATTGAGATAAGTCTGCACTGAGGCGCTTGAGAATGTTACGCAAGGCATACTACAGCATGCTTGGCAGGAGCTGGACTACTGATTTGATATTTGTCATGTCATAGGTGTTGCACATATTGAACATTTGTGAGGCTTTGTGAAATCGGTTATAAAATCTACACACTTTTTAATATCTTGTTTGAATTTTGATAAATGAATCCTTTATTGTTCAACATGAAGCCTATTTAATTTCATTTGCCTGGGACATGTAGTTACTCAGATATTCAAATTTAAAATGATATCAGTTATTTTGGAATACCCTGAACAATCAAGATTTTTAACATGAGTAAGATTTTATTCAAGATCTAAAACATAAAATTATAAACTTTATAAACTTTTCTCTTCCAAATGTAGAATCATGTAATAATTAAAAGCTGCAGTTGTGGATTTCTGTAAATTATTGAATTTATAATAATTTCTTCTAATATCTTTTCATGGTCAGGTCAGGCTTAGGTCTGCTACCGTTAACATGTAACCCAGTACAACCTGCCACATGGACAGGTGGTTGACATCTAAACCAGTTCTTCACTAGCTTTTCTGCTGGTGAGGAGGATGGCATGTCACCCAAAGGATGAAAAACAAGACCTGTTAAAGATCAGATGAGCTTCTTATAGGAGCCAATGGTTAACACACACACACACATATATAGGATGGGGTCTCATGACTTGAATAGCAACCTTCCTAGAGATGGTGTCTTGATAAAAACACTCTGTGTACTTGAACTACAATGAGTGTCTTAGTCGGGCATCATAAAGAGCATCTGGCCTTGTAAAAACTTGCCTCAAATCACTATGACAAATATTTTGTCAGGTAAGACTCACCTTTGTGCAAGATTGATCCCAGTCCTGCCTCAAGAAAAAAACATGGCTATGTATGTAATTACCTTCTCTGATGAATTGTTACAAGTATCCCTTTTTATTTTTACATTAAATTTGACACATTTAAAAAAGCAAATACCTCTCAAGCTGGCAGACTTTTTTTATTTATTTTTTTTTTTTTTAATGCAATGAATTTTAAGTGGATTTGTTCTGATATTTGTCTGTTATATGTCTATTTTTATTATTATTTGCAGATTCTTGTATATGATCGATTTGGTCAAGATATTATATCCCCATTATTGAATGTAAAAGAGCTAAGGGATTTGGGAGTTACTTTACACTTGTGAGTATTTTTAATATGAGATTAACATTCATATTAATTCTGTGAACCTTTCACTTTTAGACAGTTTAAATTGAAATTCCACTCAGCTGATAAAGAAGTTAATGCAGAAAGTTTATTTCCTTAGATCCTTTTATTTTTTTTAGTTTAGCATTTTGATATTTCTGTCCTAACAAGACATTATTTTGCATAAGCATGAAGGGAAGATATCTTTAAATTTTGTCTACATGAAACTATGAATAATTATATATGGTGGGTGTGCTGAAAAGTTCTCTGCCCAATCAAGACTCCTCCCCTGCAAAAAAAAAAAATACACACATTTATCTTGGCCTGACAATATTCAGCAGCCCCACTCCCATATATATTTGTTGTGTGTTTCATAATTTACTTTTTTTTTTTTTTTTAATACATAAATGCATGTTTGCAGGTTGTATAATAGTACATGAAAAAAAAAAGTTTTAAATGACATTTTTTGCCTCAAAGTGTTGTATTTGGCTTCTTCAGGTTAGAGTGAAAGACAAAACTGTGTTAAAGAAAATGTTGAGGATAAGAGGGGCAACAAATTAAATTACTTTATTAGATCTGACAACCAGAACCTGTTTATATATATATATATATATATATATATATATGGTGTGATGGGTAAATTGTTGACCTTTTTATATTTTTAATTTTACACATGCACTTTGTTTTGGTCACCATCTGTGAGAAAAAAACACCATGATGCAATTCACTCTGCCAGAAATTTGGAAATAGCATGCTGTACTGTTTGGCATTCATGTCGGAAGCTGTAATATGAACATTTCAGATTGTTTAGGTGTCAGTCTGAGATCAGAGCAGAGGATTCGGAAAGGGTTGGATGAGTCTAATGGTGATTATGAAGGTACACCAGCTTGGAAAACTCACTCTGAGCGATCTGATAAGAAAAGAGCTTCCAAATTTACTGGTGAGGGTTTCAGATTCAACATGGAGGCTTACATCAAATGCCTTGAGGAGGTAGTACTAGCCTGGGTCAAGAGGGTGGCTGTTGGAAGACCCTATGTCTGGCAACAGGACTCTTGCATCTTACCACACAAACAGGAGAACCCAGTTATGGCTGTCAGACAATTTCTGCAACCTTACATCTGGCCACCTAACTCGCTAGACTGCAAAACCCATCTTAATTATTGTGTATGGGGTGCAGTTGGGCGGGAGACCAGTAGAACTCCTTGTAAAACCCAAAGATGAACTGAAGGCAAGGATTATGGCAGCATTCACCAACTTAAACAAGGAGACCATCCAGAAGAGTTGCAGGAAATTTTAAAGTTGTCTGGAGGCTGTACGTAGTTGAAGCCAATGTTGATTTTTATTGAATAAATTTACTCTTTAGTATATCAAGATATTTTTGTGTAATTTTGGTAAATATATCGGTTAAAATGAGAGGTCAGTGTTATTTTCATTTTTGCATAATTTAGATGACAATTTATCCATCGCACCTGTGTAATATATATATATATATATATATATATATATATATATATATATATATATATATGAAAAGTAATAAATTTTTAGGGTATTTGGATAATCATTCATTACTATGAATGATTATCCAAATCCTCAAATCAAAAATTTCTAGCACTTGTATATCCTTGCTTGATCCAACTTGTAATGCTCTGGAGGGGTGCAGCTTGGTGAAACAAGACGTTTGCTCTTGGGGCACAGTCCAGTAGGTTATGTATACTTGGATGAGTATCACCACTGGAATTTAATGAGTAGCTGTACTATATTGAGTCTAGTTAGTTTCTTCTTCATGACTGAGGCCTGTTGGTCTAGTGGTATGACACTTGTGTTTTATTGTAACGATCCAGGTTTGATTCTCGGTAGTGGATGTGTACTGCTGAGGAAGCCCAAAAAGGATGAAATAGCTGCTCTGTGCTTTCTGCATTCTGTTGCAGATTCTTCTAGATTCCGTGAATTACTATGAATCCACTCACATGGAAACAAAGACATGTTTGCAAATGCTTCATTTTTGAGTTTAAAGAAAGTTTACAGTATATGGCATTGTGTTGCCCTGTAGACAAGGTTACATTGGTCATTCGTGTACATTTGTGGCTAGTCTCTCTTCAACATTTAATGTGTGTAGTAGTGAGGTAACTGAGATGTGTTCCATTTAACGATTACAGTATATTCATGTCATGAGCAGACAGATATGATAGTACTGCATACAGCTCCTGTATCCGTATCATTTGCAATGTGTGCAGGGTTTTTTGCCTTCTGATCACTCATCACGGGAGAACTAGTGCTGATAGTTTATTACACAAACTGCTGTTTGTCTCTTTAGTCTTATTTACAGATGAGGCAACATTTGGAAGAGATGGAATAAAAAAACAATTTACTCAGCCAAAATTTGTGGGCAGATTGGAAACCTTATGCTACAATACAAGCTACACATCAGCAACAGTTTACGATTACTGTATGAGCTGGAATTGTAGGTCGCTGTCTGGTAGGTCCACATGTTTTCTCATCGCATCTTACAGGAGCTGTCTACAGAGAGTTTATTTTGAACACACTTCCAGACCTGCTAGAGGATGTACCCCTGCTAATACAAAGATGCATTATGGGGCTCCAGCATGTTTTAATCACATTGTTCACAATGCACTGGCTGACATCTACCATGAAAGATGGATAGGTAGACAGGACTGGTTCCATGGCCTGCACATTCCCCTGACCTCAATCCCTTCTATTTCTATCTGTCAGGCTTTCTAAAATAATTGGCTTATGCAGCAGACATTAATGATAGACACTTCATTGACGTGTCATGGAGGCCTGTGGAAGTATTTGAAAGGGTCTGTCAGTCCAATGGGTGCATGTGTGTGTAGAAGCAGCTGGAAATCATTTTGAACATTTTGTTATGAGTTGCTGTGTTGAGGTACAATGATGGCCTTTTGGACATATGTTCATATGGACATTTTTCCTTGTTTTGGTGTCAGGAATGCCTCACAAAATCTATGGTATACCAATGACTCTCATCCATTGAGAGTCCTAACACTGATATGATATACATAGGGCCAACGAAGAATAAATTTAAAATTAGATGGAGGCAACACAAGAGCTCCTTCAACAATATTCAAAATAGAAATCAATCAGACATCTCTATCCCAATATTTCTGGCATCTAAAAGAAATGAATAAAACACCAAAAGTAAAATGGAAAATAGTAAATAGAACAAGAACTTGTAAAACCTGGGATGACCCATGCCCTTTACGCCTACACAAAAAACTACACATCATTAAGTTTCTAAATGATGAAAAATTATTAAACCATAGGCAGGAGTTAATGGTTTTTTGCCGACATCAACAAATTTTCGCATTAAGTAATTAGCATTAAACCCCCCCACCCCCAAAAAACCAATAGTTTAATAAGTCTTAAAAGCTTAGCCAAATCATTAAATAAGAAAAACTCTTTCTGTAGTCGTCAAAAAAACAAATTGAAATTCAGTGCAATACAGTTTGTATATAAAATGCCCACTTGAATAAACAAATAAAGAGATAATCAGATAGACAATAATAAAACAAAATCCTCCCAACACATAACGACTTGTAGGAGCGCCATAAAAATATCCCTCACTGGGAACTAACTAGAGAATGACCGCCAATATTAACCTTGAAATAGATACCCTACCCAACCTGAGCAAAATCTCTCAGATGATGAATCTATAGATAAGAATTAACTCTCTGACCACTTAATGAAGGTGACTCGCCTAGCCACTCCCCCAATAACGAATGTTATAACGAACCATGCTTAAAAACACGTAAACCAAGAGATAGCTTATTCCTAAAATTTTGCTTGAAGATGAAACGGGACTAAACACCTTAATTCAACTTAATTGTAATAATTATTTGAATGGTTTCAGCTCTTGTTTTTGAAACATGAGAACTCTTATGTAGCAAAGGAATCATATTTTTAAACAAAAAAATATTATAATATAAGCTCTACTTCTGTATGAAGCACTATCTTCTTAAAAATAAAAACAAAAATACTAAGGAACACCGGATTATGCACCCAACGTGTTCTTTTCTATTTTCTGCATACCTGTGCACTTTTTATATATATATATATATATATATATATATATATATATATATATATTATTTGTGTGTAAGATACCCTAATGGAACCCATCCCTCTTTATGCTGGTTTTAATTCAGAGTTGTCCTTTTAGACTGGTTACCTTTGATAATATTTAATATGTAATAAAATATAGTTTAATACGTCAGTTATTTATATACCAATTTATTAATGTATTTTGTAACAGGTTACTTCACACTGACAGAGATCCAATTCCAGATGTTCCTGCCATTTATTTTGTTATGCCAACAGATGAAAATGTTCAGCGAATTTGTCGAGTGAGTATTCCTATTAATAATTATCAATTTTGTTTCACTAATTGAGTTTTAATTAATTTTCTGAATAATGGTAAGCTTAACTCTTGTACACTGCTTTTCATTTGTGTTCTTGTAGTCATTGGGAATCATGGAAACTGTTTTTGACATGTATAATTTTTGTAAGGTTTAACTATCTATACACACACACACTTTTACATTTTTTAAAATCTTTAATTGCCAGTTAATATTTAATTACAACTTCTTTAGCACATTAAACAATATATATATATATATATATATATATATATATATCTCACACATGTATGTATGCATGTATGTATAAATATTATTTTTAGTGAATGTCCATATTTGAGTAGACGTGCCGTTTATTTATTAAACACTATATTTATTTTCATCTACCAGCCTGGAAGTTTTGGTGGAGTAATGGATAGTGGCTCAGATTAAGGAATCGGAGAGCGGAGTTCGAATTCCAGTCAAATCCATTACATTCACTTATGTGTTAATATCCTTGGTAAAGGTTAGAATCCTCTTCTTCACTGCCACGCTATAGGTAAATAGCAGGGCAGACAGGGTTCTATAGCCTTTGATGGGGACTGTTCTACCACAGAAAGAAATGGCAACCTTCTGCAGGAAAAAAAGCTGCCTCATCAGTCATATATTGAAAGATACATGATCGCCTAAGCGTGTATTATGCATGTCACATAACCAATAGTTTGTTTATATATTGCTAATACGAACACTGCTACTTATTCATGGAATTAGCAATTAATGCATTCACTTACCCAACTTATATTTTGTAATAATTTGTAATAAATGAGAGGTACAGAAATTTATACATATTTGGATAGTTATCTCTTCTAAAAAGGAAAATAATTACATTATTTTAATTTACTAAAAAAGGAAATTTTGTTGTCTTACTATTATATTTTAATATGAGTTTTAAAATGTTTTTCTATTATTGTTGTACTTGACTCTTTCATAGTCTTTTCACCTGTTAGCTTTGTAACAATCTTCAGTGTATCATTGTCATAAATAAATAAATTTTTGTTTGAGCATCCAGTTTGCATCAGGTGGAGAATAAGTTGTTTAGCTGGAGAAGAAACAACAAAGTTATTAGTGGAAAAAGTGGAAATGATTGCTTATTGGACATGTTTCTTATTTGTCTGAAATAGCTTCATAAGATTGACTAGAATCTTTTATTATGACAAAAAAAAAATTTTAGAAAAGAAAATCTGTGTAAAATGTTAATTTCATATAGCTCTAATAAATGTTTTTATACTTTGTATGTGTCTAATAAAATGTCTTCTTGAAATCATTTAGAAGTCTACCATTCATGTTTGCATTGCTACCACATCTGGCCTGATTCTAGGCTTTTAGAGATGCTTAATAAAATCCAAGGAAAATGCAATGTTATTGATCCTGACCTGGCAGCTTCAGTTAGTTTCCCACTGTTGTAACAGAGCTTCCACTGTACCCTTTTTTTTTTTTCTTTCTATAAATATTTTCTTGATAGTTGTTCCGATGAGCTTTCATCTTTGACACCTTGATTTTTATGAATTTAAGTACAGTACTAGATTGGTAGTTAGGTCTCCTCATTTTACAGTTGAAATTGCTAGCTGTAACTGTAAGTTCTGTTATAGTTTCTCCTCTCACACTTCTCACTTGTAGAACTCTCTTTCAGTTTTTGCTTTCCAGTTATCTTCAAAAATTAAAGTGCAATGTCAATTATCTTCTATCTTCTGAATTCCTGTTTTTATTGTTCTCTGTCCTTAATGTTTTCTTTGTTTTTTTTTGTTTTTTTTTTCATATTCTTTCACATTCAAAAACCCCTTGCATTATTGTGTCTTTAATTGCCTTTCTTGGAGTGAAATTATTAAAAATATACTAAAGAATTAAGCAGCTAAGAAATATTTGAAATGTTAAAGAATTACAAGTTTTTTTGTTTTTTTTTGTTTCAATTTATTATTCAATGTTACTTTTAATTTCTCTCCATGCTTATAAAAATCTTTTCATATGAATTTTTGAACATTGTTTTAATTTCATTAGACATTATATATATATATATATATATATATATATATATATATATAAATTTTTTTTTTTTTTTTTTTTTTCAAGAGACAAACTCATGAAATCTATTATTTTTTTCTTTCTTACAGGATTTTTGAAAATCAAATGTATGACTCGTACTACCTAAACTTTATATCCTGTGTGTTCCGACAGAAACTAGAAGATATAGCAAGTACTGCCATCCAAAATAATTGTGTCACACAAATATCTAAAGTAAGTATAATTTTCAACTTTTAGTTTTTCTTCCTAGTTAGTGACCAGCATTTGAAACTTGTAAATATCTTTCAGCTTATACCGAATTTGTCTGAAGCACTTTCAGTTGAATGTATCTTCTTTTAGAATTAGGTACATTTATTTTCAGTGCACTGATTATAAAGACAATGTTTTAAAAAAGAAATAAAGATTTATATGCGGTTTTATTTAAGTATAAAGGCTCCACTACTGGAATCATCTTAAATTGGTGATTAAGTGTTCTTACACTACCCTGATGTGAAATGTAATTATTTTTGCAATTTTTTAAATAGAAAATATGCAATTACATAACCTGAGATTATTGTACAACCCAAGGGAAAAAGTAGTAGCTTGGCTCTGTGGTCTTGTATTGGGTAAATATCAATAAAAAAAAACAAAAAACAGTTTTGATGTACAACACTGAATTCAAAACCAGTTTGGCACAGAGCTAGCAATTCATTCCATCCTGTGGAAAAAAAAACAAAACAAATCTTTTTACAGAAACTACAGCAGCAATACCAAATGCTATTGAAAGCTGTGCACCCCCCATACTCTTCAGTGGAGTCTATGAGACATGGATGAGTGAAAATATGATTTATTAAAGCTTTTTAGAGAAACAGAATAACACATTTAATTTTTTTATTAGGAAATAAGCATTTTTTTCTGACCATATTTTTGCATTTAATTATAGATTTTTGACCAGTATCTGAACTTCATCTGTTTGGAAGATGATTTGTTTACAATGCGTCATCAAGAAAGAGATGCTATTTCCTATTATGGTAAGTAATCATTGATATTGCTTTGTCCCAGAATTTAATCTCTTTTTAATGAGACTCATTGGAGAGAATGTTATTACTCTCTAAATCTATTTCAGTCATCAAAGCATTGTTCTGTTGAATAAGAAAATGTGTGCGTAATAGAATATATTTTTGATAATCAAGTTAAATTTATTTTGATATTTTCAGAAATATATTTTTGAAAATTTTATTTTATTTCTAATATTTATGTATTTTAATATTTCAAATGATTTTTAAAAATTTTCATTTCTAGTTTTTTCTCTTTTTCATATATTGGATGGAAACAGAAAGAATATTTTATTTACTACCTTATCTTTATATTATGTGTTTCATTGTATTTATGTATCAGTAGTTGCATATATATATATATATATATATATATATATATATATATATATAACATTCTTTGTATAGTTGCTATTGTTAAAACAATGTTTCAACGAATTCACTCTTTAGCTCTGATAAGGTGTAATTTATGAGAACAAAGAAAATGATTTTCACAAATATAATAACCGACACCAAAAGTGCTCAGGAACTCTGATATAAATTGTGATGCTGTGTTTTGCACAAAGCTCTGTTTTAGTTTGATGTCTGTAGACATTATAGGTTTTTTGTTTAGGTCAGTGGCTGCCTTTTTGTCTTTTTTATTTTATTTTTATTTTTATTTTTTTTTAATGTTATCTTTGGCAGACTTGATATTGGTATAGTTGTTCATTGATGCATTATTGATTATTTGGTTACTTTTGTATAATTTCATATATATATTAGTTCAAATGTTATTATTATGAACATTTAATTTTGAAATAATAAAAATGTCAGCTTAAAATAAATCCATTCTTTTTTATATATATATATATATATATATATATATATATATATATAAACAATGAATTGATTTTTAAAAAATGGTAATTAAGAAAAAAAAATATAGTAAGAAATGATAAAATACAAATTATCCTGTTACCAAGTTGACTATTGTAAATGAACAAAAAAATTAAAAAAAAAGAATTAATTTTATACAAGTTTATTATTAAAAGTAAATATGCAAAACATATCCTCCAAGACAAATATATTTATCTTGAGTATATCTGAGATAGAATATATATTTATATTATCCCCCACCCAATTTTTTATATATTTGTATATGCAAGTGGTATCTAGTCTGTAGTAATATTAATATAGCTATAAATGATTACTGAATCCTTACTTACTAGTCACCCATTAGCAACTTTTTGTGTGATGTCCTTGCTCTCTTTTCCTTTACTCTTTACTTGATACAAATTTGTCTTCATTTTATTTTTTTTTCTGTTATCATTTTGTAACTTTTGGAATTCTCTAAACTGTTATTTTCAGCAATCAATCGGGGCCAAGTTGATGATATAGAAATGGATACCATCATGGATATCGTTACTGACAGTTTATTCTCAGTATTTGTAACTTTAGGTAAGTATCTTTTATTTTTATATTTTTTTAATTTATTTTTAGATAAAATGTATTATTATACAAATATCTATTTGGATGAGTGCCCTTATTTTGGTAGTTCAAAAAAATGAATGTATAAGAATTCCTCATATCAGAAATTCAGACATGCCCAAAAATTGTTGTACCAATATTCTTAGTAAAGACATGTTTTTGGGTCTTTACTTACTATCATTCATATAGCTCCAAGGGTTACAGCTCTAAAGAAGTGGAAAAACTTTAATTTTGATAAGTACATGACATTTTTAACATCACTATTTATAGGGAGATATATATGAGAGAGAGCACACAGTGAGTGCTGGTGATAATAAACCAATGCTTGATGTAAAAGAACAGAACTAAAATTTATACTAATATTAAATAAACATTTGTTTCTCACTGTTTGGTACAACTCATGTGTGGCAATCACTAGGCACAAATTGAGAACTTGTACTAAATTGAGAGGAACAAATGTATATTTATTATTAGTGTATGTATATACACACACACACACACACACACACACAGCTGGACTTTTCCATTGTTTTGAACAGATGAGGGTCAAGCAGCTTGGTTCTTAGAACTAGCCAAACTACAAGCACATATCATTTGATTATAGTGGTGAAGGCTTGTGCAGGACCAACACACTTTTTTGGAAGAGCTGAATACAGAGAACTGTTGCACAGTATTCCACAAGGTCTCCAAATGAGTCTCTGCAGGTTTTGAATTCAGTTTCACAGACTAGTTGCCACACAAGGATATAGGACCGAGTTTTTCCTGCTATTTACCCATACTGGTGGGGGGAGAAGAGATAGATTCTTATCTTTCCCAAGAGTATTAGCACATAAGTGAATGTAATGAACTCTATTTTCTGATTCCTCAATCCAAGCCGCTCCACTGTGTGTGTGTGTGTGTGTGTGTGTGTGTGTGTGTGTGTGTGTGTGTGTGTGTGTGTATGTATATGTATATATATATATATATTTATTTATTTGTACAGTATATATTTTATATTATAAAGAGATAATCATACAAAGAATTAGTAATATTAATGTAATTAATGATGAAATCTCTTTGCTAACAGACTTAATAAGGCATTAACTTACTAACAACTCATTGAATGATGTGATCCTTATGTAGAAAATTGTTGTCAGATGGATCTGGTATTGTAGAGTGAGTACATTTGAAAATTTCACATTTTCATCCTTAGGCTATAATTTATCCATTTACAAATAATTTTAAAAATGTTTTGTTTTTTTTTTTTTTTTTTTGTTTTTTAAGAATGTGTTATTTAGGTTATAGAATTTTGGAACATACAATGTCGCAACACTAGAGTTCAAGTTTAAATATTTCAAGTGAGAATACAGATTGCAAGTTCAAGATACAGTTCTATGACATCATACCACATGACGGACTGAAGTATTACAACAGAACCAATGTCTAGATGCAATGTAATGCGTTGTGACTTGTTTGAAATGTAATTTTGTTGAGTGTGGGTTGCTTCATTTTAATGTAGATGGTCTCTAATATCTGAAGGTTCTTTTTACTGTGTGTATGTGTGAGTATTATTGTGTTATCAACTAATATTTGTCCAGTATTATGTACATGGCAATATTTTTCTAAGAAATGTTGTTTAATAGAACTAAGATCAGAAAAGTGACAGGTAAGTCTACGGGAAAGCGTAGTTGTAGTAAAACCAATATATGTAGTGGGTTTATTATTAGCATCAGTGATACAATCTCTGAATGGGCATGTAAATTGATACATTACACTGTTTTTTTTGTAGAGGATTTAGTTGTGTATATGTAGGGTTATTAGAGACTATGAAGTCAATTGTTTTAAATTTTTTATAATATATGATTAGCTTAACTTGCCTTTTATTATTAATCAAATACTAAAAAATGTGTATGCATTTGTGTGTGTTAAAAATAATTTTATTTTAAACACACAAATGCAGACACATGCAACACATTTTTTAGTCTTCGATCTGATGAAGCCAGATAGGTGAAATGCTTAGTCAGATATTATTTTCAAAACAAAACATACTTTCATGAACGTTTTTCCAAATGTCATTAACTCATAACTCTGTTAGGATTATATAGCCAAATTTATAACACACACACACACTATTTCAAATGGTATGAGGGAGAAAGTAAAATAATTGTAATGTGGATAAAATATTTAAAGATTTGTATTGTACAATGTTACATTATTTGTTTATGATGTTTTGCTTATGTGAATGAGAAAATGCATACATTAGCATTTTAAGGATTGAGAAAGTCACCATTAAAGTAAATTATATTTTTCTTTTGAGAAAATCAGAAAAACCAAAAAACATACAAAAATTAATAATGTTAAAGTATTATTTCACTTTTAAATCTCACAGGTTTTTGTTATTCACATTCTATGTATGAAAAATGTAAAAAATATTTCTTCAGATGAAATAAAACCAAATCTGGATAGCTAATTTTTCCCTCTTCTTCCAACTCTTAATTCCCTCCTTTGCACATAAATGAAGACATATCTTAGACATTTTTCTGTCCATATATCATTGTTTAAAGCATTTAAAAAAAAAAAAAAAAATTAGCATTGGTTTTGCAGTGAATATTTATTTTATACTTATCTAAACTGTATAACTATTAAATCCTAGAAGAAAAGTCATTTAGACATATTGTCTAGAATCACTGATTTACATCTCTACAAAATCTATTTTAAAATAAGTGATGCAAGCAAAAAAAAAAAAAGCTGAAACTCATGGATTTTGACTAGACCTAGTCTGGCATAAGGCCACAAATATGAGGGGATAATATGAGTATCAATGATCTACTAGACTAACTTGCTTGCCATTGTACCACAATGGGTCACCTAAATAGTTCAAAAGTAATATTGTGTAATATATTTTGATAAATATAAAGTATTTAGTCTTTTTTCAAAATTTTTCAACTAACTTCACAATCCTCTTGTTTCTACAAACAAAAATTAAACCCTTCTCGCACAAATATCCTTTCAATTTAGGGAGGATGTGTTTGTGTTGATGAAAATTAATTCAAAAGCATAAAATAATCAATAATCTCTTGTAAGAGTATATAAGACAATTCTAATAAATGTGAATTTCTGTCTTAGGAATGGTACCTATTATCCGTTCTCCTCGAGGCAATGCTGCAGAAAGAGTCGCAGAGAAACTTGATAAAAAACTCAGGGATAACATCAGAGATGCCCGAAACAGTTTATTTACAACAGACAGTATTCAGGCTGGCCAGTTCAGGTAAGACTTAAAGTTAAAGTGAGTGTGCTGTGGTTTTTTTTTTTTTTTTTTTTTTTTTTTCACATAAATGCAATGTCTAAAATATACCATTATGGAAAACATTTTGTGTTATCTGGTCTATACACTGGAAAACATTTTGTGTTATCTGGTCTATACACTGGAAAACATTTTGTGTTATCTGGTCTATACACTGGAAAACATTTTGTGTTATCTGGTCTATACACTGGAAAACATTTTGTGTTATCTGGTCTATACACTGGAAAACATTTTGTATTATCTGGTCTATACACTGGAAAACATTTTGTGTTATCTGGTCTATACACTGGAAAACATTTTGTGTTATCTGGTATATTAAACACTTTATTAGATTGTTTATTTACAAGAATAATTTTATGTTTACAACACTTTAACAACTAATACAGTTAAAACTAATGCAATATTTATCATTTACCAATTTATAAAGAAATATGAAAACAATTTTTTATTCATAAATTTATTAAAATATAAAAGTGTGAACAAGCTATAAGGAAATACCTATTATTTACAATTTTATAAAGTTTAATCAATTGACAATTATTCAGTTTTGCCAACCATTCCAATAGTGTTTATTTTTGTTTATTAATAACTGAATAGTACTAAATAAAAATAACTAGATGATATCCCTAGCTATGAGAAGTAGAACGAGAACAGTCCATGCCTGTCGATTAAAAGGTTCAGTTCAGAATTCCCCATAAGATACCCGCATTGATATACATCTGAGGAAGGCTAGAGGACACAACGGCTGAAATGCAGTCAGAATGCATATATCCCCCCCCCGCCCTAAAAAAAAATTGCCTTAAAAATGTTTATGCAGCACAGGCTACCAGTACTTCCACTTAGCCTAATTACATAATTTTTCTATATAAAATGCCTTGGATCATATTTGATATATAATTTTTAAATTAAAGGCAGAATATGATATATAAATTTCTGTATATCACGAAATGTTAGGCAAATGAATGACATTGTAATACTTAAAACAAAAGCGAAAGAAAACTGAAAGAGATCGGTTAACAGATATATTATATCTTCTTACACATATAATTCCATAAGTAAAATCTACATTAAGCCGAAACACGTTACATGAAATTTTTTTCAATTGCGTGATTAAAGGGAGATAACTATAAATATACTATTTTTATTACAAGACTCATCTCCCTTGCCGTGGCAATATTAGGTGTTTGTGTAATTGGTATGACATTAAGACGATTTACAAAGCTGCGATGTAAGACCGATTTCATTGAAGTGTTGCAATAATTAGGGAAAATATACTTAAAGGTGTACAATAGTAATAGTAGGTACCTCCACGAGATCGCTAAAAAAAGAGCATAGCATGATGAAAAAGACACCAAACTTGGACGAAAAACAAAATTTTATCGTCTAAATGTTTGTTATTATTAAGAGGAAAGGTCAAAAGTATTTTTTTGGGGTATTTTTTCCATTTTTAATCGTTCCTACCACGTCCGAAATTTTCGTTAAAAATCTAGTTTTTTTTGAGTCAGCAAAATTGACCATTTTTTTCCATTAAAAAAAAACTGGAAATCTGACTTTGAAAATTTTTTAAATATCAATTATCATTTTTTCAAAACTTATTTCAAGAAAATCAGAAATTATAATGTTTATTTAAAATATTTTCAACCAAACTTAACTTAGCTTTTGTGCCAAAAAGATGTAATTTGAAAATAAAACAAAGCAGGTCATAAACTTTCGCGTCTCTTGACATGTGATGAATGATATATTTACGAATTCCATGAGGCTAGGAGAAAAGTGAAATAATTTACATTTACGTGAACAAATTATTTACCCCGTTATTTTTAACGAAAACTTTCAGCGGTCTACTTTTTTTTTTTTTTTTTTTTTTTGTACTTAGCTTTCACCTTTACGTTTATGATGCTTTATGGGAAATATATTGTAAAGAAATTAAAATAAAACTGTTAAGAGTGACATTAAATTTCATATTTCTTAAGAAAGGAATCTAATTAATTTATAGTTACCTTTCTTATGAAATTTTATCAGAATTGTACATAAAATACTATAATTTTATGTACATTTATTACATTCTACTGTTATTTATATTTGCATTCATTTTATTATTAATTTTGATATTTCATTTATGGAAAAATGTCGTAACTGAGATTAATATAAAAATAAGATCATATAAATTTCATAAGATGATACTGATACTTGTAGGTACCCTTCTCAGTTGAAATTGAAAAATCAAATTAACTTCTCCACACGTGTTTCGCAAAAGTAAAGGCTTTAACAGCGGAGAACAATGCTTAACTCAAATAACGCAACTTAATTATATTCTGGTTGGTCTTCCGTATTTTATAATTACAGCTCGATTATAAGCACAAAATTACATTTCTTAATTACTGGGGATCTTCTGATTAGTCAAAATGATACAATTTACAACGCGCTAAAAAAAGATCTATCTCATAAGGACACTTATGAAAGCCGATGTGGCTTTTAACTAATTTTATAATATTTTAACAACTTAAATGTAAAATGTATTATAATTAATGAAATAACAAATAATTGTATTAAAAATTCATTTTTCATCGAAAAAATTTTTTTGCTTTCAGAAAATATTGTTCATATTCATAAAAACAACTAAAAGCAAATAAAAGCATTTGAAATTAAATAATATCTTTGTTTTATTGAGTTTTGTATGTTACAATTCAGAGCTGATTTTCAGGTACTGCGTATCCAATTAAAAACAAAAAAAAACATGATTTGCATTCCTCAAAGCCCTGTGCTTTTAATTATTGTAATCACTAAAACCGATGCAATCGAATTTCTAGCGTTTTCATAAAATTAGTTATGGGGGGGGTAATAAATATTTAAAAAAAATATTTCTACCATGACTTTCATAAAAAAAATATATTTATAATAATTTCGATCATCTGTGAATAGTTCCTGAAAGTTTCATTAACATCCGATAATTATTTCTATTTTTGCACGATTTTTTCAAATTAATGTGTGTCATACCAAAAAAAACGTGCTAAAATTGTCTGTTATTTACTAGTTCCGCTGATACAAATAGAAAAAAGGTTTTTTAATCAAAATTAAGAATGTTCTAAAAGAAGGAATTTTTTTTTTAAAAATAATTAAAAAACTTTTGGTCTTTCCTCTTAATAATAACATAAGCATTTAGACAATAAAATTTTGTTTTCGGCAAGGTTGGCGTCTTTTTCATCAAGCTATGCTCTTTTTTTAGCGATTTCGTGGAGGTACCTAAGTAATAGTAAAGACTTATCCATTTTTATGTATGCTATTATTTTTGATTACATAGGTAAACTAATACTGTAATATTTAATGTAGAAGAGTCTTGTATGTCTTCTGATAAAATATTTATTTTATCAAGACTGAAGGACGGATTTGTTTGTAAAAATTGTCATAAAAACAAAAAGTGATACTTAGTAGAGGTTTGATTCAGCTGGTTTGATAAAACATTTGTTGAAAATATATTGAACTTTTAAAATTTTTATTTTTTAAAATTTTTGTTGCTGTTTTTGATCAGTCATGTTTCTAGTTTTCAGAGACCTTTGCTGGTAATCCTTGACCGGAATTTGGATTTAGTTTCTCTGTTGCACCATACCTGGACTTACCAAGCCCTTTCTCATGATGTCTTGGTAAATACCTTTTCTTTCTTTTCAAGTTTTAATTTTTGCATATTTCTTTTTTATTTCTCTCTTTCCTGTCATGGACCAGATATAAATATTTAGTAATATGTGAGTAGATCAACTATTTGAATTTAAGCACATCTCAGTGGTGATAATGTAGGATTGTTGATGAGGTTTGTAGGTGTTTCTCTATTGAGTTGGTGATTCTTTTCATACAAATTAGAAAAAAAAAAAAATATATATGATTTTTAAACTTGGATAAGTTAGTGCTTTTAGTAAGCATTAAATCAAAATGAATAAAGACTCAAAGCTAAAATAATTTGTATCACTGTGTTGAATTGGAATGGGCAGAATAAGAATAAGCCCTTCTCTCTAGTATATAGATTTATAATACATGAAGAAAAAACAATTGAGTGTGCAAGTATTAAACATTTCTGAAGGAGTAAAATGCCCCAGCTTTTCAAGATTACAGATTTTTCTTGAGGAAAAGTATAGCTATTATTGATTTTTTATTTGTCAATCAATTACAGCTTAATGTATGGGACTTTTTTTTTTGGTGGGGGCAGAGGGGAATTTTTATCATTGGATTCAAAATGGTGAGTATTTACTAGAAAAACCCATTTGAATCAAAATAATCATAAAAACCATATAAATCTGGTACTTTTTAGTTTAAATTCTATAAATAAAATATTAATAAAGGCTATAAAGTTAACTATTTAACATCTTTTTCATTAATGTTGTGTATGTGTAATTTTGTAAATATTAAGCAGTTCATTTGTCTGTTATACAAATTCCTTTTCTAGTATTGTAATCATTCTTTCTTAATTTTCTACAGGAATATAATCTTAACAAAGTGGAAATAGAAGAGAATTCAGAAGTGATATCACCAAGTGGCAGTACACGGCCAAGAAAAAAGAAAAAAAATTATGCTTTTAGTTTTACGGATAAATTTTGGCAGACACACAAAGGAAGGTGAGATAATCTGGTTCCTTTATAATGTAAATGAAAGTAGATTAATTTCCTTGCAACTGTTGGATGAGAATAGAAACCTCTCTTCATAGTTTGAAGTCATCCTCATCCTTAGGTAAAATGTAACATTTGTTAGTAGTCTTTTGACAATCCAGAAAAGTACAAACCATTCAAAAAATTGGTCATTAAAAAATACTTGGATATATACTAACAAACATCTTTGAGAATATTATTGTCTTATCCACTTTAAATTTGTGGTGATTGATTTTAGGTTATGCTCTTTGGAATTTTCAGTCTCTCATAATTCGATCTTTCTAACTCCTGGAACATTCTTTCACAAGTATTCTTAATGTGAAATGATCAGTTTGAAGTTCTCATATTTAAACATATGCCACGAAGCCATAAACATACTCAGTCTATACAAATAACTTCTGAATTGCTTTTATGTTAAGATGTAGGATCTCAGCACATAACTGCCTTCAGGCTTTTTATATTAATAAAACTTAAGGATTTCACATGAAATCTGATCTTATTTTATATGAAATTGAGAAAAATTTATTTGATATACCAATAAACTCTCTAATAAATATATATATATATATATATATAGTGAAATAACTTATTACATGGAACCTTAAAGTGGTCTGTTTTTATTCAAATATATATATATATATATATATAATAAATCATACATTTGTTTTTATGTAATTCATGAAAAGTTGATATAATTGTAGAAAATGTTTGCTAATACAAAATCATTATATCATAGTTAAAGTGATATTGGCAATTGATATTGAAATCATTTTTTAGTCTTAAAATTCTCGAGTGCAAAACACGTTTATCTAGCAGGCACTAATACTAATGGTGATTTCTCAGTTTATCGTTTTTTCTTTTTTTTAAATTTATTTTGTTTATATTATCCTTGAAATTGTTTCTGAAAAAAGATGTAAATATCAGAATGTTAAACATAATATTAGTTCATATCAATTTAAGAGTAGGTTAACTGTTAAGAACAAAAATAAGGTTGATGTTTTTGTGTGCAGGTTAGTTGATGTATGTAACTTCAGTTTATCATCTTGGAATAATGTGAAAAGTCAAATATGTTAACATAAATTCTAAGAATAAATGAGCATTAGTAAAACTATGAATAATTAAGAAACGATGAAATGTCGGCTTAAAGAGGCTTTTCCATTTTCAATTGACTTGATTTGGATGATGCCAGAACATTAAGATGTTTCTGTCTTCTAAGATCTATGTTCATATCTCTACATGATTTGTTATGTGACTACTTGTATCTAAATATGACAATGTTAGTCATTTTGGGAATTTTTTCAGAATTGATTGATTGACAGATTTTCATAGCATCAATCTCATTTTCTCAACATTTTTTTTATTGTTGGTGTGCTCAAGTTAAAAATTCTTGGAATGGAACTGTATATACAGAAGATAAGTTCATACCTTTCCCAAAATAATATGCACAAAACAACAACTTGTAAATGAGCAAAATTAAAATCCTTCTGTCAGCAATACTTTACTATCAGATGATTCATATGATTATGTAACTTTATTGTTTCCTATTTTCTGTAAATACATACAAGCTAATTTATTTGACCCAACCACGCTCTCATATAATATATTTTGGAATATAGATTGTATACTTCTAAGGTTGTTGTACAGATAAATACATGATTTGTCTTAATGGTTAGATAAATTCTTTCTTTTTGTAAAAGTCCGTCTCAGCAGTCATTCTAATATTAGTCTCTCTTGGGATTAGTAATAATTGTGATTAACTTCGTTTTTTTTTTTTTTATTCTATTTGTTTCTACATACTAGAAAAGGGACCTCACATTTTATTTTTCTCAATGATTTTCATGTAAGTTAATCTTGAATGTCAGTCATTTTGTATTTTTGAGGAATACAAATTGAATTTTTTATATTACTATCGATGATACCCTTTTATTGTTGTTACATGCTTCTGCTACACATTTAGAGATTCATGATAAAATACAAAGAAGAATCTGCAATCTCCTGGCATCTTGGTTTCAGTCACTTTCTCACCACTGTAGGCTTACGGCCATTTCACATTGAAACACCGGTTTCCATATGATCACTGAAGTTAAGCAAAGTCAAGCCTGATCAGTATGTAGAGTAGATGGGTGACTGCTTGAGAATATCATGTGCTGTAAGTTTGGATGTGTGGGTAGTCTAATGGCTTGGAATTGTTAGTGAGAGAGTCAAGTTCCAATTCCAGTTGGGTTCATTATATTCACTTACTTGCAAATACCTTTGAGAAAGGTATGAATCCACCTTCTCTCCACCCATCTATGGGTTAATTAGTAAGACTTGTATAACTAAAACATTATTATTTACAAAAATAAAATTATGTATAAAATATTTAGATTTTGGCATTAAATAACCTGGTTGATATACTGCTAAACAAAAACAACTAACCAACCACCATCATAACATAACTTTCCTGTATCTTTTCTATAAATATTTTCGTGGTAATTGTTCCGATGAACTTTCTATTGTACATAAATTTTATGAATTTAAGTGCAGTACCAGGTTGATGGCAAGGTCTCTTCATTTTACATTAGTTGAAATGGTTAGGTGTAACTGTAAGTTCTATGCAGACAGTTTCTTCTCTCAATCTTGTTGCTTGTGGAATTCTTTCAGCTTCTTGCTTCCTTGTCAACTTTTATCTTCAAAAATTTAAATGCAGTGTCAATAGTTATCTTCTGTCTTTTTAATTCCTATTCTTTTGTTTTCTCTTTAATAATATTTTTTTCTCCAAATATTCTCTTATATTCGTTATCTTAGTGACTTTATTACCTTGTGTTGGGTGAAATGATTTAAAAAAATTGTTTTTAACATTTACACAAGTTTTTTTTGTTATAGCAATTTTGATAAAATGTCCCTATTCTTAATCAGTTTATTTAAAAATGTTGTTTTCAGTCCTTTCCCAATGGTTGCAGAAGCTATTCAGGAAGAATTGGATTCCTATCGGGCACAGGAGGATGAAGTGAAAAAATTGAAAGCTGCTATGGTAAGAATCAAATTATATTATTTATTAATAGATTTATGCTGTTACATTTAATTCACCTGTGACACACATTTAAGTCTTGAAAGCATTGATATTTGAAGAGTTTACATAATCTTGCCATTGATTAAATTTGAAAAACTTGTAATATTGTGACAAATATATTTTAATTATTATAGTGCTTTATTAACCTATAGAAAAATTTTAGAAGCAAAATAAAAAAAAAAATGTAAGGCTGATTTTGAATGAGAAAAATGATTGAATATGAAATGGCTAGTATTTCTTAAAATATCTGAATAAATATATATGAAACTTCCTTTGAATTCAGTGGTAACCAAATTTTTTTTTCTCTGGGCTGCATTTTTGGAATGAAAATTTGCTTGCATCTCACCAAATTTTATGTGATAAAAAGTACATTTGAAAATAAACAGTGAGAGATTTAAAGGAAGCTAACCATGGATTTGAAGTCAGAAAATTATCATTGATAACTCTCTTCTTCAATTTGCAAACCTAATTACTATATTACTTGATATAAAGCAAAAATATCACAATGATAAAATATGTCAATTATTTATAACTATTTATACTGGGACTCATGCATGCAATTACAAGTAATCCATAATGATATTTAAAATTTTAAAATCATATTTATTTTTGGCATATGAATTTTTTAAATTGTTTCTGAATTTTTGATTCTTTCAATCATTTCACCTCACTTGTCTCTTCCACCGCACCTTTGAGGTGTGTCGCACTGTTTGGGAATCACTGTCCTAATTTAATTCTGTTTTGATATGAAGATGAATTAATTGCTCTGACTTTTGCTAAGAGTTTATAGAATACTGTCAATTCAAGAAGAAATCCTGTTTCTAGTTACTTTTCAGTTTCTTAATTTATGAACAATCAATTTGATACTGAGTTAAATGAATGTTTTAAATCTTTTTTGTGTATAACAGTACTTATTTTGTTCTAATGAATCATTTAAATTGTTCAACTGTTTATTACTTAAAGGGATTGGAAGGTGAAGATGATTCAGCCATCAGTATGTTGTCTGATAACACTGCTAAATTGACTTCAGCTGTCAGGTAAAACTATTTCCTCATTCATTTTTAATTTGATATTTTAAAGGAGTAAGGGGCAAAACTTGACAAAAAATCTCAAATCTTAAATTTTTCTTTATAATTCCAAATTGGCCAGTTTACTTGGAAAAATGATTTTTTATGAATAGATCTAATGAAAATTTAAAATTGCATTGATTTTCTTTTGTTTGTTTTTTTTTTTTCATTTTTTTTTTTTTTTTTTTTTTTTTTTTTTTTTTTTTTTTTTTTTTCATTTTTTTTTTTTTTTTTTTTTTTTTTCATTTTTTTTTTTCATTTTTTTTTTTTTTTTTTTTTTTTTTTTTTTTTTTTATTTTTTTTTTTTTTTTTTTTTTTTTCATTTTTTTTTTTTTTTTTTTTTTTTTTTTTTTTTTTTTTTTTTTTTTTTTTCTATTTCAGATCTATTTTTATAAAATAGATTAAACTGGTTTATTACCAAAAATGAGAAAGATCAAGCTTAGAATTGTCAATGTTACTTTCAAGACTTAAAGTATTTAAATTTATTAAGTTTAATCTTGGCTCTTTTCATTATCACCATTGAGAGTAGTAATATTTTTAAAGTGTTAAAATGTATGTAAACCTTCATTACTAGTTAGAATAATCCACCTTGATATTCTTCTGTCATATTGATTTGTCATCTTGCATTAATAATTACTCTTTAATTTGACCTTATTTTGAGAATTTATGGTTTTACTATTTGAATTTTCTGATGAATCATAATTCTTAAATTAATGATTGATTAAGCTCTTTGTGAGCTTTACAAATTTCCCTTATTGCATTGTTAAATATTTGAACTTTACAACAAAATATTGCAATAACAATCATAAGTATTAATACAGGTCGTTATTTAAAGTAAGAGGGTACAAAATGAAAAGATTTGAAATTGACAAGGTTTTCTATTTTTCTCAAACATATGAGAGTGTTACCACCTCTTATCTTTTCTTTGTTTTTTCTCACTTAGTTTTCTTGAAACCAAACAGTATCTGCTTTTTTTTTCCATCTTGTGATCAAAAGAATTAAACTGAATGAAATGTGACCAAAACAATGAAATTTATTTATACAAATCCCTGTACAACAGAAAAGCTTTCTATTGAGTCTTTTTACTTAATTTTGCTGCTCTTGACTGTTGCAGTAAAACTTTTGAATGTGCCCAATGAATCTCATTTTGGTTATTTCTTTGTAAGTTACTATTTAATTGATTAACTCCTGTATAGAATGTATTTTATTTCATAAAGAAAAAAGATGTTATTGTGATAATCTCTTGGATTAGCACAGGAAATAGGTGAAAGACAAGAATTAATAATCACATTTGCAATTGAATATGAACAATTGACACTGTAAGCTTTTAAATGTAATTAGAATAAGCAATGATAGAAAACTCACTCACTCTAAATGTTTATATTTTTTTATTCATTTGTGATTTGACTATTTTTGACTTGTCCAAATCAATACCAGAATGCTTAAAATCTTAAAATGAGTTTTGTTTTGAATTTCAGCTCTTTGCCTGAACTTTTGGAAAAGAAGCGCCTTATAGATATGCATACAAACATTGCCACTGCTCTATTGGAACATATTAAGGTATATTGATTGAAATAATTCATTTACTGCTTCAGCATCAGTCTTCAAACCTAAAGATAATTTTTTTTTTCTTTTTAATGAAAATGACATGATAGAATGATATTGTGTATTTTAGGGATATGTTTTAATTTTTTATGTAACATTACATCAAACATGAAAAGAAAACTAAAATATGATTTTTTTTTCTTGCACATATTGGATAATGTTTCAGATTGAATACATGATTTTGTTTTTCATTTTACAGGAAAGAAAATTAGATGTTTACTTTGAGACTGAAGAGAAAATGATGAGCAAATCTGTTATGGTAAGAAAATTTATTTCAGATTCTTTTTTTTTTTTTTTTTTTTCTATGTAATAAAATCATCAGTTTCCAACTAGGTATTTATGCAGATGACACAAACATTTACTCCTGTCTTAGTAGTAAGGCTGACAGACCAAAAAAATTAAAACTGGCAATTGCTCTCAAAAACCTCCAATCAGTGGTTAGCTGGGGCAAGAAATGGTTTGTAAATTTGAATGCCTCTAAAACAAAGCTGCTTTCATTTAATCACGGCAGAACCTTTTCTGCCTGCCATCAGCATGGCTGATGCTGGACTCCAGGAGAGCAACACTATGCTGCCTTAGGCTTATGTTTTCCACTGACAGCAACTTTATTGAATCAATTGCTATATATACTACAAGGAAATTTGGCTCACTGTGTTGTGCTAGAAAATTTTTCTTGTCAGAATCCATATTGCACATTTATAAATCTACCATTCATCTGTGCATTGAATATTGCTGCTTTATCTGGTCTGGTGCTCCTGCTCTATATATTGAGTTCCTTGACAAAATTCAAAGAAGGGTCTGTAGTGTGATTGATCCTGACCTGGCATCTCCACTTCAGTAATATTTTCATGGCATTCATCATTTTCAACTCTTTTTCCCTAGTTCCTCAACTATATGAATTTAAATGTGCTACTAGATTGGCAACTAGGTCTCACTGTTTTACTGTTGAACTAATAAGATGTAACCACTGCATCTATTTTATTAGTTTCTTATCTCTCACCACTCACCTGTGGAACTTTCTTTCGATTTCTTGCTTCCCTGGCACCTACAAATTTCAAAAATTTAATTGCAATATCAATTGCCATGTTCTGTCTAACTGAATCATGTTCTTCTAGTGTCCTTTCTTAACTTCTAACTAATGTCTTCTCATTCTCTTTCACTTCCTGTAACCCCCTGTGTCCTAGTAGCATTGTCGCTTTGCTTGGGGTGAAATGATAAAAAATAAATACTTCAGGAATTTTTTTTCTCCTCTTTTTATACTTTGAGGTTTTCAGATTTTAATTTAAGACTTTCTATAGTTGTTACATAATACAATTAGGAAAATGCATTTGAAAAGAATAAAACTAACTTAAAACTTTGAAAACTGATTAAACATCTACTGTGTACTTCAAAATTGGTTGGATGGATTTTGTAGTTGATATAAATCATAAAATAACAGTAAATGATTCCCTTAAGAATTACTTACATTAAACTGTTGAATTTTAACTTAAATTGTGAAGTTATTTAGATGCTTATCCCCCACAAAAATATCTGTAGAATTTATTGATATATAAAATAGTAATGTCTGTTTTTCCTATAAGGAAACATTAAGCATTCAATGACCAAGTAGCCAGTATACTACCATTGGTTGAAATTTATAAAATCTTTATTTTAGAAAAACAGGTTTTTCAAGTTCACTAGTTGTTATTGCTCTTTTCAATATTTTTGGTGGTTTCCTTCCTAACCTTGTGGTTGAAATAGTATGAAACATTACCATCTTGATTGTCATTGTTTTCTCTTCAAGTTATGTAATATCGATTTTTTTTTTTTTTTTTTTTTTTTTAGTTGTAAGCTCTCAAGTGGCATTCTTTGTCTCATTTGGTACAGTTCTTTGAGATTCTGTAGTGTGAGTCCATGAAATTTGAAGAATAATGGTTTTTGCTAAGGCTTCTTTTACTTGAAGCCATTTTTAATCATTGATCTGAAAAAGCAGTTGCATGCAGCTGATAAACACATGCACACACACACACACATATATATATATATATATAAAAAACTCGTTAACATTTTGACTTGTTGGAACTAGCAATATAAAAGCTGTTGATAGTAGCAAAGAATATTAAAATTTATTAAGCTAAACAAAAAGATAAAATATGCCTATGTTAAAAAAAAAAAACCCCAAAAACAAATGTTTTGATAGAATTTACTTTCTGGAACACTGATATGATAAGGCACAATGTCCTCTCAGTTTTTGTCCTTGGCAGTTAATTTCTTGTATTTCCATGATAAATGCTTAATTTTGAAAACACAAATATTTATCTCACACACATTTGTATATTACCAATTTATAAAATATTTCCTTTCTTGTAGGACAAATCATTAATGGATATAATTTCTGATCCCAAAGGTAAGTTTTTACTTTATTTTCACTCTTGAAAAACCTAGTGATGGGAATATAGACAAATTAAATGTTTTATTCAGTTCTTATAAGCATGAAAAGGAGATTAGTTTGAGCCAATTTGAATGTTTGGGGAATTTTTCTTAACAGAAAAATAAGTCCTACTAAATATAGTTTTTCAGTTTTGTAAATGGTATAATAATCTACAAATAACCCTAATTGATTATCAATATTTTGCAAATTTTAGTTAAATTAGCTTCAGATTGTTTGAATAAAAAAATATTAACTTTTTAAAATTTTTTCTCAAGGAATTAAATTACACTACTATAACAATGTCATTTTTTTTTTCTTTTTTTGGTATCAAGACTGCTCCAACTTCAAAGGTGCATCCAATTTTTGACTTAAAATTTTAAAAGAAAAATGAATAAACATAAAACTAAGTAAAGTAATAAAAATAACTTGTTGAGTTTGGAGTAATTTTATTTTGGTGGTGAAAAACTTATCTTTGGTGCTGGGAAAGACAGTATATTTTTATGTTGGAAATTTACATTTTTTGTTTTTCTTTTGCAATCTTTTGGAAATGTCTTTCTTTCTCACTCTCTCTTTTTAAGTTGGAGCCCATAATTAAAAAAAAAATGAACATGGTTCTAAAGCTCAAGATGTTATTAAAAATTAAAATAATTTATTCTTTTCTGATCTTTTCTAATGACCTGAAAAGATCCTCTGATTTTAATTTATTTTAGCATTTTATAATTTTATTTTTTTTGATTAACCAGTTTTGCTAATTAGTTATGTGTGCACATTTGAAAAATCTTGAAATTTACTAAGCTTTTTTTCTATATTACGCAAAGCCAATAGAGAGAAGTTGACAAGAGGATTGCATTGTTTCAATCTTTCAATGAAGGGCTAATTATTTCTATATAGAAAATCACCTTTTTGAAATCGTCTTTTACCTGAGTCTGAACATAAATTAAGGAATTTCATCAGAATGGCTGCTTTGTTTTAATTTATTTGGGGTTTGTTTAAAAATATTTAAAAATATCTTTTTGATGAAAGAAAAGAAATACTTTATGAATTAAAAAAAAAAGATTTTAAGGTTTTTCAATCAGGATTTAAAATTCTGTCATAAGTTTTGTTGATCAAACAAGTACTTACTTTTTTCCCAAATGAAAATAAACTAAAGTATGACACACAGTCATGTCAGCAGCAGGCAGGTATGAAGAATGTTAAATTTAAGGCTCAAGATTATTCTTTGGGAATAAACCCCTACTGTCTTTAGTGGAATACAGCATTGATTTGTGAATTTGGTGGCATAGTAATTGAGATCAATTCCTGGGCTGGATAGTGCAGAGCAGTCTGTTGTATGACAAGGCTACTTATTGTGATATTATCAAGAGCTTTTTAAGATAAAGCTTCTGTAATAGAATGTTTTTGAGTGATGTTCACTTGCAATGAAGAACAGCAAAAGTTTAACTATGGTGGGATGCTATCAAAGTAATTAGAAAGAGAATATCAACAAAAACAATATGAGATGGTGTTATAAAGTAGATGGATAACCAATATAAAATGGAGGCTAGAGATTATAAAGAGATAGTGCCAGAACACAGATAAATCTATTTTTTTTTTTTTTTTTTTTATATGAAGCAAATAAATGTATGAGTAACATTTTCCATGGTAGGGAATCTAATTAACAGTTTCCCTTGTGAGAATGTTTACCAATTTACTGCTATATTACTAAAGATTTTATTGCTGTAAGCATTTGCAATAAACCATTTTTTATGGTATCCGCTTCCAACTATGAAGAATTAAAACTTGTAAATCACTGTTGGTTTATGAAGATTTTCTATTTAAATTATTTTTGTATGTGTTTAAGGTATCTTAATATTATTATCACCTAATTTCTAACATTATTTTTCAATATACACTATAATATTAATATCTTGATCACTTATTAGCTAATCCTGTTTTGCATTTATAGCGGGAACACCAGAAGACAAAGTGCGTCTATTCCTTATTGCTTTAATCTGTGGACCACCCATGAGTAAAGTAAGTATATTTACTTGTTTTTGTCCTTATAAAGATATGGCAATAAAAAAGGATTTTAGCAATTGCTATAAAAGTATTAATGAAATTGATTTGGATATTTGAAAATTCCTCTTAATATTGTATCTAAGCTGGTGTACTAGTTGAAACAATTTTAATTTTCATTTTGTATTCTGAAGATGATCAATTTGTTAATTTGAAATATTGTTAAAAATGCTTAAAGATATCAAATAAAAGATTCACCTGGATATTAATCATCTCAATATTACAAATGAATTGTTGAAAATTATCAAAAAAAAAATTCAGGATTAAAATGTGTTTTTAATTTTACTCTAAGATCTGCATTTTGTTCTTTGTTGGAATATTAAATGTTTTTGCATCTTCTCTTAGAAAACAGAAAATGTCTTTGAAAAGAATTTTAAAAAATAATCATTTTTTTTATTTTTATTTTTTATTTTAAGATTTAATAAGGTTGAGTTTTACATAAGAAAATGAAGATATTTTTAAAGTTAGAAAGTTTAAAATATCTAAACTTTTTAAATACTTACCTGGGGTTATTCTTTTTGCATTTGATTAATCTTTATATTGAGGAAATATTGTAGGTTTTGCTAGTATGCCAAATTTTATGATTGCATCAGAAATAGGTTATAACAAATACATAAAAGATGTAAATAACTTTCTGATTAAATTCGCCATTTATCTAATCTTTTTAAGTGTTTGATATTCAAGCATTATTGTTATTATTGCCTACTTTGAATATATGAATTTAACTTGGAGAATATGTTATAAGAAAAACATAATTTAAAGAAAGAGTACACATTTTGTAATTGTGCCAGAAACTAATTGATTCACAATGTGTCACACCTTCAGATTGTGATTACCTGCAAGTGAAAACTTAAACCTTTACAAATTCTTTTAACTGAAACATGAAATTAAATTATTTGCAGTGACATATTTTGGCGGGGAAAAATAGGAAACATTATCTATCATTTTTCACAGAGATAGCATGCAATCTTATTAAAAAAAAAAAAAAAAAAGAAAATGTTGAAGCCACAGTTTATTTATGAGGAGGAAATATATCATACAAGACTTGATGTTGTGAAAAATTTTAATTCTATTAAATATTTTTTGATATTTTTCTAAATAATTACAAATTATAAACTATTCACTTGCAAAAGAAAAATTGTTACTCAATTCAATATTAAGTATCACTGCAATTACTCCATATTTAACACTGATTATGTTAACCAGTGCTTCTTAATCGTAAGTTACTGACTGAATTCCAAATTATCTTCAGGACGTGGATGATTTTGATTCTCCACAACTTCATATCCTTTGTAGCTCTAAACAACTTTTGACTTTTTACCATTTCTCTTTGACCCAGCACCGACATCCACTCATACAAACTTGTTAAGCTAGTTGCTGTTTCTGTCTGCTTATCTTGCTTTCAATATATCATCTAAATATTAAATTTTCCAAGCCCTTTTTCATCATTAGGCATACCAGAAATTTCAGCTGCCTCTTTCTGATTTTAAGTATAAAAGTACTTGTTTGTTCCAGTTTGTTTTAAAACTTTCTTGTTGCTCATTTATTTGGTTTCTTGTATTCTCAACATCTGTTTGTAGAACCACACTTGTCACTTTGAGTCTCTTCATCTATGAGGAAATTGTTCAGTTTTCACTCTCATGAAAGAGAGTAGATATGACCTGGCTGATCAGAACTCTTTGCTTTGTTTCTAATTAAATTTTCCTATCTCTTAATATTTTTAGTTTCTGAAAGGCATCTTTTGCTATTTTAATGTGCCTTTAGATTTCTGTCACATTTTCTGTCATCTGTTACTAAACTACCCAAATAGTTAAATTTCTAATCTCTTTATTAACTAGTTTTATATTCAGCTTTTATTTTATACTAGAATTTTTTGTAACACACTCATAAGTATTGAAATCCTCACTATATTTAGTATTGTTGAAGTTATCACTTAGATTTTTGTTGAGATTCACAAATCTTATGTTTCATTTAATTTTGCAAATCAATCAGTGAAATTTGAATAAGCTGATTTGTTTGGGAAAATATTTTGACAAAAACCCTACTTTGTGGTTTAATAATTTCTTTATTTTATTTTGTAGGACTTCATGGTAAAGAATATTTAAAAAAAAATTCTTTTTTCCTTTTTAACAGCAAAAAAATAATTAGAATTTCTTATTCTTCAGCATGCAACATACAACTGACCATGTGTAAATATTTCTTTCTGGAGCCAAATTCTAACTTTTTGAAGCATTTGGCCTTGTGATTTGTTTATAGTTCTCACAAATGCAGAGTGAACTGGAAATTGGATTCTTGTATATAAACACTTAAAGAAAAGATATATAAAAAATAATATTGCATTTTTATTGAATAAGTTATTTTAGTTTTGAAATTGTTTTTAAAATAGTGGAAGTATTTTGTTTAAATAATATAACTTTTAATTTTTCTAAAATAATGAAAATTTATTGTACTAAGCTATGCACCCTAGTAAAGCCAACTGTACTTTGTACTCCCTTACCTGTTTTCACTTCTCCCCAAAATTTGGTTTTTATTGCTCAATGTATGGCTATTTTAGAGGGTGTGACAGATGGAGAGATTAATGGAAATCATATAATTTTATATATAGATAATGCATGTATGTATGTATGTATGTATGTATAAAAATGTATTTTGTGATTATTTTATTCTCTAGATAGTACTGAAGATTTTGAGTAAACTCTTTATTGTTACTTCATATTTTAATGGATTTACAGAAAAAATGATTTGTTATGCTTTTATTGAAGCTGTACAGTAGTACTATCCAAACTAGTGACTTGACATTTTAGTGTCATCGTTCATTCTTTAATTTAAATTTTTAATTAAATAATTTTTTTTTATATACATCTTTAATTGTATATTTGGTTTGGCAAACATTAATTAACATATTGCAAAAAAAAATTAAATGTGTTACTAAGGTAAAAATTTTAGAAAGCGCTGCACTAGTGTAATGTATTTTACAATAAATAGGTGAATAATAAACTAACTGTATCTGTTTAACAGTAATTTGATGAGGACAGCAATTTTCTAACTTAATTGAGAATTCACTGTGGTTTGTCTGCAGTTGTTAAATATGTGGGAGGAGAGCTAGCAAATAATTAAAATTCTGTCCATTTTTAAGCAAAGCCAAATTGTAAATTCTTTTACCCCCAAATCCAAAACATTCTTTGCCTTGACTTTTCAGTGTTTGTCATTTTTGCTGTTTCAAACCTGCAATTACTTGTGGTGTTAATAATTATATAAGTACCACTTTATAAGTTTGGACATGTCTATTGTCATTCTACAAATGCAAGCAACTCAACATAGCATTCAGTATTTCTGTGTCTCTTTTCATTTTCAATTTATTACTGTTAGCAATCCTTAACTTTTCTGCTAGTCTGGACACGTTTCTTTTGACTTACCCACACAAGTGCCCAGACTTTGAGTAAGAGAGACATTTTTTCCTTGCTCTTTTTCAAAGAAAAGCTTTCACAAAAGAAGAATTGAAAATAAATTACATGCCACTTTCTGGTACTGAGTTGACTTAACACTTGAGAAGCAATCTTGGTTTGTCAGATATATGTAGATTAATCCTTGCACTTGTCAGTTGTAGAGAGAGAAACACTAGATTTATGTACCAGTACCATAAATTCAGTCTGGTATTATTTTAGTAAGTAATATAACAAAAAGAATTTACCACTTAAGATAATACCATGTATCTTTTTAAAAATCAGGCTTACTCCGGTTCCTTTACGCTCATCAAAGTTAAGCAACATCAGGCCTGGTCAGTACCAAGATGTGTGACTGCTTGGGAATACCAGATGCTGTAAGCTTGGATGTGTGGGTGGTGTAATGGATAATGACTTTGAATTGTTAATTGGAGTGCTGAGTTTCAATTCTAGTTGGGTTTGTTATATTCACTTATGTGCAAATATCATTGAAAAAGTTATGAATACACCTTTTCTCCCCCATCTATGGGTTAATTGGTAAGACTTGTATCATTAAATCGGTATCTCAAAAAAAAAAAATTTCTGGCTTTAAAAAACTTGCAAAGGGCTGATAAGCTGTAGCAAATGAATCATTAATTTTTCAAAAAACATTTTTGATAATTTTCACTGATTTGTCTCACAGAAGAAAATATTTATCATAGAATCACTTGAAATTAACCTCTGATAACCAGAGAATAACTTAAAGTGCTAATTAAAATGAAAACCTGCTGGGATACTAGAATCTGAACTGGTTCAATATGTTTCACTTCCCTTGAACCTTATTTAAAAAAAAAAAAGTTTCCTATTGTGCTATTAAGTTTATTAATAACTTGTGAATTTAGAAATATGGCAGAAATATTTTGATTAACATGAAGCATATTTTGAAAAGTAAGATATGGATTTTATATTGCATATGAAGTACAAAACTTGATTGGGAGAATGGGTAGGGGTAAAAATAATGTTCTGCAGATTTATAAGCGATGAAATGATGTTTTTGTTCATTGTATATTGGTCAATACTAAATACCTCCACTTTTTCACTAAAAAAGAGCATACCATGATGAAAAAAGGCCCTAAAATTGAACAAAGTTTTATTGTCAAAATGTTTGCTATTATTAAGAGGAAAGACCAAAGTATGTTTTGATTATTTTATTAAATTTAACTCTTTCCAGCATGTTCAAAATTTTTTTTTTTTGTTCCTAGTAAAAAACACACTGATTTTGAAATTCTTGCAAAATCAAATAATTGTTGGATTTTAATGAAACTCTCAGGACTTATTAATAAATGAATTAAATTATTTTTTTTAGAAAATTTTGGTAAAAATTTTTTGTTTTTGTTTTTACATCTGCTACCTCCCAATTACTTAATTTTATGAAATTTTGAAAAATTAAATTTTGATTGTAAAATTTTTTTTTATTAGTTAAAAGCTGGACTCCTTGGGGAATGTAAATGATTTACTAAAAATCTCTGAATTGTAAAATAAAAAATGCAATAAAACTATGACATTATTTAATTACGAAAGCTTTTAATTGCTTTTATAAATAAGATATATTAAGGATACTATTGTCTTAAGAAAAAATCTTTTTCATTGAATAATGAATTTTTACAAAAAAAGTCTTTTAAATTTCTGCATTACATTGATTGCATTAGGTGATATTGTTATTAAGTGAAAACTATATTTAGTAATCAACAATTGAAAAGCTTAATACCTGTCCTCAAACTCTGAGACTTTTAAAAGAATTTTGAATTTTCTTTTTATCTGTATAAACATGCCCATTTTTGAATTTAAGGGTAACTATACACAATATTATTAGAAAATAAGAGTGGCGACTATAGAAATTTAAAGTCAACATTCATAAAATTATATTACGGAGAATATTTTCCAAAATTTTAAAGACTATTGAGTACTTCAAAATTATATATATAAAAAAAAAAAGCAACTCGTCATTTTCTTAATTTGTTTTACAGATAAAGTCTCCATAGAACAACAATCAATGTCATCACTTTGTTATCACTCATCAATCAGATAAACATGGCTACTGTCAGTTAAAAACACTGCTACTGTTTGGTTTAAAAATTCCTTTCTGTGTTATTTTAAACTTAAAGAAATATTTGTTTTAAATTAGATACTTTAAATCAGCTAATATTCCTCAAATAAAGTTTTAGAAAAGTATATTTTATTTTTGCAAGATTTTTAAAACTGAAAACTGACTTGTGCCTACAAATATCTAAAAAAAAAAAAAAAAAAAAAAAAAAAAAAAATGAATGACTTTAATGGTTTTACTGAAAAAAAAAAAAAAATGTAAATTGATTCCAATCAATATAATTTCTGTTTGAAATACACCAGAATATTTTGCTTACTGAAAATAGTAAATTTAATATTTTAGCTTAAAATGAAAGCTTCAAGAAAGCTCTTCAATTTATAAAAATTCATTTTAAACCTTAGGTATCACAAATTAGTGGAGGTACCTAGTCAGTATCAATGATACTTAATTTTGCATAATCTGATAAACATTGGGAAGTGGAAACTAGTTACAGTATTGTAAGTAAGAATTGAACTTATATTAATGTCTACCTAACTTGTTCACATACTATATCTATTTGTATTGATATTCATGAAGTTTAGCTTAATTCAAAACAAAGCACAATGGATGTACAAAGCATTTTTCAAGTATCCTCACATTTATTCTCTGAAACTATTTTCACATACCAAATACTGAATTACCTACCTTTATATTGCTAACCACAACCTCATATTTTGGTAAACATTTTTTCTCCATAAAAACAAATTCAATATTTCTTACCAAGTAAACTTAGATTTCTAAAATGTAAATAAATTCAAAAGGCCAAACATGCCTCTTTTGGATTTGAAAAGTTTTTGCATGAGAAATAAAGTGAAAAATAGTCTGAAGTGCATTTTCATCTCTATATTAAAGCTACTTAATCATTATGAAAAAAAAAAAAAAAAAAAAAAAAACAAACAAAAAAACTGTGAATGAATATATTTTACATCAATTTTTTAAACGTTTGCTTATGCTTAGAAAGTAATCTAAGGGAAGTAATTCAGTCATTGGTGTGCAAAAAAAATTGTTTCAGATGCTTGGATTTTCTTTTCAGTATTTTAATGTGATAACTAGTGTAACACAGAATAGAATGTCAGACTCCTTGGTTGATAGTTTAGTTTTCTCAAGTGTTTGACTATTGTAGTTGCCTTAAACAAAAGCATTATGGACTTTAACTAATCTAAGTGGACATAATTGACTTCTATACTAGCGCCTTTTCAGCAGTAGCTGTAATTCTATATCATGACTTTGATTTAGATGTTAATTACTAGTACTATTCTGGTGTTAGAATTTGGCATCCTGTGTTTCAAGAATTGGCCAATTGTGGGTCAAGTAGGTGCTACAGAGTAAACCTTGTGCTCTTGTCTTTTTTTCCTCCTCCGCCTTCCTTGAGGACAATGAAGAATATTGTTTTTATCTGAATGGTTTCCAAAAGTCTTTAATTCTGGGCATACTGCCTAAATTGTTTTTAATGCATTTCCTGTTTAGAAAATAAACAATGATTGTTTCCTTACTCTTAATTATTTCAGGTGTATTTGAGTGGGTGACTTAGTCTGGTTATTCAGGGACTCAAACCCATTTTGTTGCTTGCTTAGTCATAGATGCTTCACTTTTCATTATATTCTTTGCATTGAATTGTTATTGTGGACTTTTATTTGAAAGCAAATGTGTGCGCACACACACACTCACATAATACAGAAAGACTGTTTATGTATACTTCTTACTCAATGTAGGTATAGTAGGCTGATGAGAGAAAAAAAAATGATATTGTATGTTATTCTGTGAACAGACAGCAAAATAAAAGCATGATAAAATTCAGAATTTTTGGACACACTTATGTCCTCTCTCAAAAATTATGTTTTCATTAGGAAACACTGAAAAATTGTCATCTTAGTCCATTTCCCAAAATCTGACCAAACATTCAGTTTCTTGTTTGGGCTGAGAACTTTTCAGCATCATATTCGTATCACACAAATACACATAATAGCTGCTGCATGATAGCCTAAATTTTTTTATAAAAATCAGCTTGAATATATTAAACTACCATTTGAAGATAACTGAAAAAAAATGAATGCAGTTGTAGCTTTGGGTCTACAGTGGCTTAAAATAGTTGAAATGTGAAAAATGCAAAGTTCATGGGCCAGAAGTGAAAAAAAAAAAATAGCCATTAACAATTTTTTCACTTTGAAATACTTTTTTCTTTTGTAACTCATACTCTCATTTTGACATGGTCAAATTTTTTAGGCAATTTTTAGACTTGACAACTGAAAATTGATACAGGTAAATTGATGCGTATCATCATTAATATTCAAATAGAAAGAAGTAATCATCAAAAGAAAATGCCTTCTTGTAATCTAAAATATAATTCAGTCCTCTTTGTAAGGAGGTAGAGAAAATTGCATTACTCTTTTGATTTCATAGCTTAAAATTTAAGGGAAAAGATTTAAGGCTATATCATATATATATCTGCATATGCCAAAAAGTTCTGTTACATTTTAAGTTTTCAGCCTGACCAAGATATATATATTTAGTTTATGCAAAACTAGGTAATCCGTATGGGTAGACCCAAGGAGGATGATATCCAGAGAGCTCAATGTAAATTCAGAGCAAATAAATTTGAATAAAAACAGACCACTTTAAAGTTCCATGTAATAAATTATTTCACCACAGCCCTTTTAAAGGGCTCTGGATCATCAGACTTTACTTCCAAAGGTTGAAATGAACCTTTCATTTCAACCTTTGGAAGTAAAGTCTGATGATCCAGAGCCATTTAAAAAGGCCTGTGGTGAAATAATTTATTACATGGAACTTTAAAGTGGTCTGCTTTATTCAAAAATATATATATATATATATATATATATATATATATATATATATATATATATATATATATATATATATATGTTTTGGTCAGGCAGAGAACTTTTCAAAACCTCCTTCATACTATGGAAAAATATTTTATGCTACCTTATTGTAATGTGGAAATTTGACCAAAATGTTTACTGAAAACTGTAAATAGATACAATCAACTTATTCTGTAGATGTTAGATACAATCAAGCCACTGGTTTATACAAGTTAACAGTACTTGCTTTGTATTGATGTAGTATTTTTATAATAAGTTCAAATGACATTTCTGTCAGGAAATAAATAATTATATAATTACTTTGGCTGAAAAGTTAAGTACTGCAAAGTCTTTTTATTCATTTCCCCATTCCCTTATTGATTGGTTGTGTGCCATATATTTAGCCTGTCCCAGAATATAACAATGGAGGTGAAGAAT